CCGATTAATCGGCTATGGCCGATATTTCTGTGTACCGGGGTACAAGCGCCGGATAACGGTTTTTTGACAACTTTTAATACTTGTGTATACGCCACAAATTGACGTACTAGTTTTAGTGTGTTCCGGAAAATATTTACTCATATTTGCTTCCCCTTGGCTAAGTCTTGTAGTGATTGTACATGCTTTCGAAACAAATCACTAAAGTTTACAGTTTAATGGAATTATCTGTTAAATAGTTCTAAATGTTTTGATTTTTACCAAACTTACATATACCTGTAAGTATAGAATCAAGGCTTCTCTAAATTCTAATTTTATTTAAACCTTCAGTATGCGGATGAATTATTCGGTACCGAATTCACGGAACATATCAATTGTGATGTAGACACTGACAAAGACGACAAGGAGACGGAGAAAAAAGAGAAGAAACTTGTTATTAATTACCAACAGGGCGATGGTGAGAAAGTCATTGAATATGAAAACATTGAATCAAGTTCTGAGAATGAAGAGGATGTTGATGATGACATTGAAAAAGCAATAGCAAAAGAAATTAACCAAATCAAAAATCTGAAGAAATCAAGAAGATTTCAAGGTATACCTACTGGTGTGAATGCTATATTATTTATCAGAACCACATTATCAAAGGAAGACCTAAATAAACTGATTCACTGTATACTCTCAGATATTGCTAAAACAAAGCAGAACAAATCAAGGTAAGTCAATGCAGTTTTTCCTATTGTGTGCACTCTGAGCAACTTGTCAGTGTTTTGAACATAGCAGTTCTGAACTGCGCTTGGAACATGTTTAACATAAGAAACTAATTTAGAAAACGAAAATGTTTCGTTTCTATGCAGCGCACTCGCACTCATCTAAACGAATAACAACATCAAGAAAATAAAATCTAATTCCATATTAAACATTTTAAATTTTCACGTGCTTCATGAGACTAACTATTGTGCAACAGACGAAGTAGAGCTGATGTTGTGATAAAAACACTGGGTGAATAGCGAGGTTCAGATTTGACTTCCACTACCGCTACCGCTACCATTAACCAATCAGGTGCGTTTCATATATCCGATCAACCAATCAGACGCGTACTAAGCCAGTGAGAGGTATTGGTAGTGTCGGTAGTGGGAGTCAAATCTGAACCTCTATAATGTCGGATGGCTTCAGTTGTCTTTAGCAGTTCTCTGACCAGTGCAAATATCAAAGTAGTGACGGAGTTCTATGGTGTTGACAGTGAACTTCCTAGCAACGAGATAAGGACATTTTCTAGAATGTCAATGTCAAGAGAAATGATACCGAATGTCAATGTCAAGAGAAATGACACCGCGATGATTTTTTTATTTAACTTTGCCTGTTTGCCACATACAGAAATGGTAGGGTCACCCCAAGAGTATAAACCAATTACTGTGACTCTTTGCAATAAAAGTATTAATTGACGCCAAGAATACAAATATTTTAAAGCAACATTTTAAACATATTGACTTACAAGTGCATGGAATTTCCGGTTCATATTTATGTCCATGGCGGTGGTGTAATCAGTGGTGTAATATACTGATATAGTGTAGCGATTTTAATCTGGACTGAATATTGCATAGCCAGGTTTTCTGTTGCTCATGGATGTCTGTTGATCAAGGGTGTTCGAATTACTCGTATCTCTCGTCTTTTTCTGATTGGCATAATTCCTTGCTGGTATTACATCGTCGCATACATCGTTCGCTCCCGACGGATCATCCGTGGGCCACTTGTTAGTTCTTACCACGTTATGGCGTCATACTGTTTATATGTAACTGAACATGCAGACAACGGCAATATGTTTTCTGTTTGTTAATTAGCAAACTACCACCTCCTCATGTTATTATATTGCCGCAATCTAGCAAGGATGAAGGAGTGTCGGACTTTATCAAAAGCTTTTCAAATTTCTAAGTATATAACGTCTGTTTTTGCAAGAATCTAACAAGGAGCCAAACGTAATCGCAACTTCAAGTCTTCAGCTGAGTTACACAAGATTTTCCAGAAATAGATCCATGTTGTGCACGGTTTAACATTTGCAATACGTGCTCACGTACGCCCGTATTCTAAAAGCTCACTCACACTCAATCAGTGGAGGTTCAATCTGAGCTTTTCTTGAGTGTCATTGCTGTTTTTGAATAGGAGGGTGAGTAGTCACATGGTAAGGTACGACACTAACCCTCTTGCTATTCAAAAACAGCATTGACACTCAGCAGAAGTTCAGATTGAACCTCCACTCATTAAGTGTAAGCAGGGCCGCCGAGAGGTTGGCGGGGGCCCGGGGCAAATTTTTTTTTAGGGGCCCCTATCTAAAAAATTTCTTCCCGGAAAATTTTTTTTCCGGAGAACAACCCCTTCCGTCGCCAAAAAAATTTTGGTCAGTGTACCATTTTAGGGGTCAAAAATTTTTTCCGGAGTACAAAATTTTTCCGGACGAGTACGTTGCAATTGCTTTCGAGGGACTTTATCTCATTTTTTATGCCAAAATTCGGTACTTAAACCAAGAAAACAGATCTCTTGTCCTTTGCGCGGAAATATTTAACACACAAAAAAGGCTGGGGCCCAACAAAACATTTTCAGGGGCCCCCAGCAACTCGGGGCCCGGGGCAATTTGCCCCCCCCCCCTGCCACCCCCCCTCTCTGCGGCCCTGGCGACGCGGATGATCGCGGGACGAGTACGTGGACTATCACTATCCCACAAAACATCAAGGCAAAACAAAAATTGGCCAGTGTTTTTTTTAAATTGCTATTTCTGAAGGTTTATAATGAAAAAAAGCGTATTTTCATCTAGTTCGTCTATGGCAATTTCATTTCACATTTGTGTTTAAAATACCTTTCCGCTATTTTGTTTGTTTTGGGAAAATCATTAATTGTACTGCAGTACAATTAATGAAATAATTGTACTCCTTTCAACCAATTAGCATCCAGTAATTTTGTCATGCTAATAATAAAAGAAGTAACAATATTATGCTAATTTGTCGAAGCAAAATGACTGAATGGAAAACATCTTTAACGGACAGTTTGGGAAGAACAAAATGTTTTGTGTAAAATACTAAAATTTTTGAACTTTCTTGCGGTTGCATGGGAGTAGTTACATATAAAATTGATTATACCATAGTTACAGTATAAGTAAACGTTGCTTTTTATCCACAGCATTTCAAGAAATGCTTAATCAAAATGATGAGAATGAAAGGAAAACTAAAGAGGTAATTTAGATTGTTTTATAGATTGTTTTCAGTGATGTTCGACATGATGTAGCGACAGCAACAAAGCGGGTTATAAATTCAGGTCTCACAATTTATATATTGTAAAAGTGTGGTTTTAGACTACGTAATTAGGGTTATACACATCTCGCTCTGTAATTGAATGTAATTGTAATGAAGTTTCGATATTCGCTTAATATAAAAACATTTATTTCTCACGAAGCGGAAAATGTTATCAACTTTTAACCTATATTAAAACTATATAAATAACATGTTTTTCTCGCAAAGCGCAATGAAGTTTTCTGAAACCGGGCGTCGGGTGAGGTTCGCGTAATCTCATAACAGAATGCCAAAAACATGTAGAGTCCAATCGCCCGTGCATGCAGTAATATTTCAACAAATACAGTACTTTACGTCGCAATGTTTCGATTCTATATAGTATCTTCTTGTATACTCGATGGAATTGTGTTCCTTTGCTGCCAATCGTTTATCTATAAGACAATTGCTGATCACTTACTGTATATAAACAGAATAAATCGATGCTTTGTTCCATATGACCGTCATATATTCCATATGACCGTCATATAATTGTTTCTATTTAGCTTGACTCCTTTACCTTAATCGAGATTGGAAAGGCAGCATTGAGGAATGGCGAACTTCAGATTGCAGAACAGTCTTTTGGTAAGGCGATACGAAAGGAGAAGTTGGGAGAACATCGAACCAAACAAAATCCTGAGGCTTATTATTATCTGGCAGACGTTTTAGAAAAGAAAGCAGGAAAAGACGAGGTGGAATTGGGACAAAAACAACGTCTTTTACTCCAAGCAGCATCACTATACAATTTTGTAGACAATTGCTTGAAATCAGGTTCAGTAGTAGGCGATTTCGTAGAAAAAACGTCACGGTCACTTCCGTCAAAATTGAAGGATGTCGAAGATAGTCTAGTTTTAAATATTGGAGGCAATCCTGCTCGTTGTCACTTCAATTGTGAAACCAAGAGAAATGATTTAAAACAATTACGTGATGAGGTCAAGAGCATTTTAATTTCGTTAGATCAAAGATTTGATGACAAAAATGAAACAAATGAAAACCTCCTTCGAGATGTTTTTGTTGAGCAAACGGAAGATATCAATGAATTGTGCGGAATGATATCATCACGAATCAAACAATTGTTTTCTCAAATTGTCAAAGAGTGTTTGGAGATTCTTGGAAAACCACCATGCGAATATGAAGTTGTGGTTCTTGGATCTCTGGCACGAGACGAGATGACACCATATTCAGATCTTGAATGGGCAATTTTGATAACTTCTGAAGAGGAGAAATGCAAGATTTTCTTTCGTAATTTAACGAACCTGGTTCATTTACAGGTAAGTACAGCTTGCTGGAAAAGTGGAAGAATCATACTTCACAGTTAGCATGAAGGGGATGTAAATTATTCAGGTGGAAAAGTCTCAGTTTGCATGTGTTAGTTCTCTTTTTGTAATTCGCGATTTTAAATGTACTAAATTTGGTTTAAACATTGCAACTTTCAATGTAGATTCGTTGTCAAGTTATTGCCTGTGGGCATTCGACCTGTGGCTGTTGTCTGCGGGCATTTGAAAATGGTCTAGTTGATTGGTCATGTGTTTGAGATGATTTTAAACAATAAAAATAGAACTGCTCCCTGACTCTTTGATTTACAAATTTTCTCAAGGAAGTACGCTGTTGATTAATTGTACCATGATAGAACTAAAGAAGAGTAAATGTTCTTCGCCCTCTCGTAATTGTCCGGGAGAGCAGTTATTCAGAATAACGTTTTCCCATATAACTCACCGGAGTACTAAATCTCATACTCATTTAAGACTTATTCAAATATGTTTCCTTAACAGATCATCAATCTTGGAGAGACAATTTTACCAAGTATGGGTATTGAAGTGCTTAACGGAGATTGGTTTTTTGACGACATTACTCCACGTGGTATCTCGTTTGATGGTTTTCTTCCTCAGGCATGTAAGACACCGTTGGGGAACATGAAAGATTTTGAACTTATCCATACTCCAATTACAATGGCTAATTTTCAAACAAGTGAAATGCATGAGAAAAATCCGGGCTTAGCAGAAATTCTTTTAACTGTCGCACCTCTCCAATCACCGAAAGAAACTTTATTCAACGAGTACAAAATTGCTTTAGGAAACGAATTGTGTAAGCCTTGCACAACTGATGCCTGTAATCATGGAACACTAGTTACTCAAGCGGAGTGTCGAGCCATAAATACCCTTCGAAAAGACGTTTCTCGCTATGGAGAGTTACTCACAGGACGGAACTTTTTCGACGATGGAAAATTGTACGACGTTAAAAAAGAAATTTACCGTTTAACAGATCGCGTGATTGCAGGGCTTGCAAAATGTTTCGGAAGTAAAACAAGTGGATCGTTTGAAATCCTCGACGAACTCCATAAAAAAGGAGTGCTTTCTTCAATTGCCCGGGAGAACATAGCAAGCGCTGCAGCTGTTGCATTAAAGCTACGAAATATAACGTATTTAGAAGCTGGAAAACAGGGAGAGCAAATGAATACCAACAGAGATGAAAAGAAGAATGAACCAGTTTACAATATGCCTAAAGAAAAATAACTATTCCATTTTTTTTATGTTACCATTCCTTTGTATGATAAACTTCACCAGGTTTGCGATCAAAAAGATCTTGATTCTATCTCCCAAGAATCCTTCTTCGATTATTCTGACAAAGTAAAGGGGGATATATATTGCCGTTTGTTAAAATACACCAGGGTTCTACAGTGTTACGACCATGCTCTCGTAGCAAACCCAGGAGATGTAAAGTTGCAGTTGTGTCGATTTAGAATTAAGTTTGTTGCAGATAATAGTTATGATAGTTCTTCCTTGAAATGCGAACTAGATGCCCTGCGTTTTTTCATGTACAAAAAATACAATCTTCCTGAAAATATTGAATTGTTAAGTCACGCGCTCTCTGAATCAGATTGCGATATAACGAAGACAGACAAAGGGTTGATTTTTGAAATTTTAATGCTGACGTCTCTTGTTCATATCGTAGAAGGTAACTTTGAGTCAGCTCGTAAATTTATCCGTCAATGTCTGATTGGAAAAGATCTACTTGATATGGACGACTTGCAAACGTTAATAGTGTGGACGCTGTATTTGGAAATACCCACAGTTAGACGTGAATTACAAATTCAGGAATTCGACACGATTATTCGTTTATTAACAAGTTTCATAGAAGATGAAGGTGTGAGTACACAAGGCTACATTTTGCTCAACAAACTTGGTCAAGTCTTCCTATTGCAAAAAAATTACGACACAGCTTATCAATGTCTTCAGCGTGCGCTTTCCATGGGGCTTCATATTTTTGGCCAGAATGCAATTTTTCTCATGCTTCCAACAATGTTGTTGGGTCAAGCTTCGTTATATTTGCTCATGTACGATGAAAGCCGATTTTACTTCGAACAAACTCTTGAAATGTTCTCATCTTGTGGAACAGGTTTTCATTTATTCAAAGAAGGCGATCTTCGTTTAATGATCGCATATGTATGCAATATTACTAGTGACTATTGCAACGCTTTGTCACATCTTCAGGAATGCATAGAGTCGTCAAATGGAACAAGTCCGCACACTATTGCTCAGGCACATTGTAGTTTAGCTACCACATGGTCTAGATTAGGCGAAAGTGAAAAAGCTTGCAAGTCTGCGTTTGATGCTAAAGATTGTCTCCAAAATATCGTTGATGTGGAAATAAAAGCAATGATAACATGCACAGTCGCTCAAACACTTGTCGAAGTGAAAAGAAGTGAAGAAGCCATTTCTTTCCTAAAAGAGGAACTTCCTGCCCTCGATCCTTCAAAATACGATTCTGATCTTAGAGCGTTTTACCTCCAGACTCTCGCGCAGATATGCTATAAAGAAGAATTAACGTCCGAAGCTTCGCGTTACTACACTGAATGTTTGGAAATTTTGAACGTTAAGAAAGTTAACATACCCGGTATTTTGAATGCTCACTTAGCTATTGCGAACATCTTACACCTAACGGGCGCGCTATCTGAAGCAAACTCGCAATTAAACGAGGGATGGAACCATGTTTTATGCATGAGCGACGGTGATGAAAAGAACGGATTTATGAAGAAGTTTGCCGATTGTTGGGAAAAGATGGGGAACATTCAACAAGCTCAAAAATGTTACAGTGAAGTGCTCACTTCTCTAAGGTGTAAACACACAAGAAAGGTTCCATTGTTTGAATTTGAATTGATGGTCAAATTAGGTGACCTTGCGAAGATTGCGTCCAACGAAAAAGCAAGTTATTTGTCGGCAGAACAACGCCAAAAGGCACAACGACTCCATTATGACAACGCTGCCGCAATCTTACGACGACATTCAGCGTCGGGCAACTTTAATTCGTCAACCATTCTTCTTTTTACTTTGCTGGCTGACAAATATCGATCGATTGATGTATTTGAACAAGAAAAACTTTTGCTTGAAGCTTTACAAATGTGTGATGTAGTCTACCCACCAAACGGAACATCTGAGATAACTGTTGATATATTATGTGATCTATCAGAAATACACTGGGATCGATCAAATACGTCAAAATCTTGTGATTACTACATACCTGCATTCAGAATGGAAATGGAATTGCATTCATCAGATCCATACCACCAACACATCACGGGGAAGGTTCCAATATTAGCAAACCTTGTTTTTGCAGATTCAGAAAACAAAGAAATCAGGAGTTTTGTCAAGCAAGTTGTCAAGTTCATTGAAAGTGCACAAGGCGAAATGGTTACCCACGAGCAAAAAGCCAATTCTTTTACATCTGTGTCTTATTTGTTCATGTTTTTAGGCGATCTGGCAAAGTCGAGACTATTTTACCAAAAGGCAAATGAAATTTTTGACAAACAAGACAGACTTCCCAATGACAATGCTTTTCTGAGAATTAAGAAAATCGTTGGAGAAATATTGGATGTATTTCCGGAATCCCCAAACTCAGATGCACTTTTTTTTCAACAAATTTCAAGTGACGACGTAGCAAATTATTTTCGTTACATGGGTGCATTACCTCCAGCATCGAAAGAAGTGAGAAAAGTGCCCGAGTTCTCTGAATTAAATTCAGCTTTTAATTCTTTGAGAGTGACTGCACCTATTGAATCACACACACATGGTAATGACGCAGGCGACGCTACAGCAAGAAATCATTTATTGTCAACAAACTATTCTTTTCGTCCTGAATCAAATGAACTTGAAAAGTTAGGTCTAGTTGCCAAATTTGAAACGGATGATTTCGATAATCAAAGTGGTTCAACCCAGAAACGACAAGAAAACAGAAAACCGGAATCTAGCAACCCGGTGGACATCAATCTGGTTACTAAGCAAACTGGTGAAAAATTGATGCCAAGTTCACTTTGTGGACAAGGTACGACCAAACAACAATCAATTGCTGATAGTGACGATAAAGAATTATCAGATCCTTTAACCATTATTTCTGGATTAAATGTGCTAGGAGATTCTGTAAAATATGATCTTCACTCAGGCAACTTCAAACAGGCAAAGGAGACGATGGAATCTTTTCATCCTTTGTTGGTGCCAGATTTGGATAAGTACTGTCCGAATGCAGCTGACGTTTTTATTAGTGAGGCTCATCGGTGCAACGAAGGGAAAAGAATGGAGTTGATGCTCCCATATTTAAAGGTATCTGCTCAGTTTACGTCTGATAACAAGAAAAAGGCAGAAATATCGAAGTTGATGGCAGAATCTCACTTTCATAGCAGAAAGTATAAAATGGCAACAATCCAGTTTGTTGAAGCTGCAACTTATTACTCCTGTCATACTGATACCGATAGTGTGGTGGATTATTTAGAAATTTTGTCGGGGCTAACCAGAAGCCACATGCGTTGCAATGATTTGGAAGACGCGCGGCGTGTTTGTGAAGAGGCAATCGAGTTCACATCTAGTTTAGAATGTGGTTTGGTGAAGTTACAACATGAGGCAGAGTTCTCGTATTTAGTAGCTACTTGTCTTGTGCGGTTGGCTAAGATGAACAAGCAAACTGAGAGCACGAGTTTGGAAAAGGTGGCATCCTATTGTCAAAGAGGAATCTATGTAATCGAAACCGCGGAACAACAGTTGGGGTCGAGCGATGTAGTAGACGAGCTTACTGGAGATGTGCGGGGAAAATTGTTTGCTTTCAAATGTGAAATTCAACTTTTGTTAGCCAAATCATATTTGCAACTCGGAAAGAAAGAACTCGCAGATACTATTGTGAAAGAAATGAGCGAATTTCTACAAAATATTTCTGTCGTTGAGATGTTTTCTGAAGAAACCTGGCCAGGAGATAAGAGTGATTATTTGAAAATTTGCCGACGCATGTTTTCCTGGATTGGTCGTGCTCAGATTTTGTCCGGCAGAAAAGAACATGCAATTGCTTTACTTGAAGAGTCACTTTTGTTGTTTTTATCAAATAATAACGTAGCTCATGTTGAACAAGAGGAGTTTATTGATTTACTGGATGCATTTACAGCTACCAAGGAAGTTAAGAACGAGAACGAAATTACGCCTTTTTACCGAACTATTCAATTCTGCAAAGAGAAGTTCCTAGAAAGAAACAGTCATGTTGAAGAACTCCTGACATTTCTTCAAACTTTAGCAAGCTATTACGTCGAGTGCGAGCGAACAGAAGAAGCGATTGTTGTGTACGAAATTATGGTACCGGTAACCGAGTGCATGGGAAGTTCGATAGGGGAACGATATGGCCATTCGCAGATATTACTGTCCTTAGGTAATTGCCACCAGCGACAAGCTCTTAAACGTACGGGAAAAGGAACCATCGAGGAGCGTCGTTTAGCTGAAAAATGTTATCAGATGAAGCTGGAAACAAACGAGCCTGCTACACTTCTTAGAAAAGTTAAATATTTGGAGATGCTAACTGCAGAAAACCGTCTTGAAGAGGCTAGTGGTATTATCGCTCAGATATTTGAAGTTGGAGACAAGATATGGGATATGATGGTAATATTTCCGTACTCCTCGCGCGATCCTTCCGTTCAGAGTTACCTTTCAGATCACGGTGAAGTCGCTACAACTGTGGGGTGCGTTGTTTACAGCACGCTTTTGCGCGTATTTCTTGAGATGGGAAAGAAAAAAGAAGCAGTAGAAACTTGTGAAGAACTGTCCAAAAAAGGTCACGACGTTGAGTTTTTGTTCAAGCGTCCTTCTTTCATGCCATATCTTCTTGCTTACTGCCACAAAATGTTGGTTTCGTCCCTTGAAAAGAAAGACAACTTGCACTTTCAAGATTCGGATTTTCCGCTCTCGGACAAAAACGTCGCGCAAGTGTACTACGAAATGGGTGAATACGAGGTAGCGTTAGAATACTGCGAGAAAGCGTTGTCGTTTGTTGGTTCTTCGCCTAGTGCGCTTTCTCAAGATTTAGTTCAAATGAAGCTTGGTTGTTTGCGCCTTTCTGGAAATGCGTTGGTGTTGCTCGGAAAAGGAAACTATGCGTATTCGTATTATATTTCGTTTCTGGAATTGCTCGAAGCTCATGATGGGATTTTGAAAAAATCGTTTGAAGATCAACAGATTATTCTTGGCAAGTACGATTTTGCCGGTCTATATTTCGTGTACCGTACCTTAGGGATTCTGGTCTGCAGAGCTGGAGATGTTGATGGAGCAATAAAAGTTTACGAATATTGCAGCAGAGACTTAAATGCTGATTACCAATATGGCCATGGTTTAGTGGCAACACTAGCTGAGCTTTACCAAACCAAAGCATTTGCGACATTAGATGACGACGAAACGGCGTATTCAATGTGGATAAACAAAGCAAAAGCATGCTTTGAAAATTACTTTCAAACAGAAGATAATCCTGATCCATTCGTAGAAACAGCATTCGGGGCGCTCTTATACCGGCTAGAAGAACACCATAAAGCAATTTTTCATTTAGAAAACGTCATTCAGGGAAACGATAAAACGATAGTGCAGTTCAGTGAAGAAGACATACCTTTGGTTGGTGTTCATCTTGCACGAGAAATTGAAGCGAGAAAAGAAATTTATCTTCCATTGAATATTTATGCGCTCCTCGTTGCAGCTTCTCTTTATAGAAAGTTAAACAAGACTGACAAGGCCGAACAAGTTGTTTGTAAGATGGAAAATCTATGCTCTGGGCTCAAGTTCGATCCAAATTACCCTTTAATTCTTTCAGTCTTGGGTTATGCACACAAAGATATTGGTAACGATGATAAAGCAGCCGAAATATTCCGAAGCGTGCTTGACGTGCAACCTGGTCATATTCCTGTGACAATCGCACTGCAAGACTGTTTGTCTGCTGATAAACATACGTCAAGCTATTAAATGTTATAATGTACCTTGACGTTTGTATATAATTCAATCAATATGGTGGTTACAATGAACGATTGACATTATGTGCCTTTAAAAGAAAATGCCTGCCATTATTGATTTTTTATATTAGATTAGTTGAATTTTGTGTGTTTGGGCCATAGATTACTAACAAAACTTTCAAGAAATAAGTGTACCCAACTTCACGCGACTTATAGCGATTGTTCACCCCAGTCCCAAACGCAGCCTGAAAACAATGTAAACGAAGGACAATGAAAAATGAAGTGATTCTAATTCCAAATGCGTACGGATGCTTACCTACGGCTGTTCCGTTTCCATAAATGAACTCCCTGTCAGACGTGAAATTCCAAATTTATTTTTAGAGCTGCAGCACGGATAAAATATTTTAAAAAATTTCACCACAGTCCGGTAGCTGGCGACAGCTGCAAAATGCTCAAAGTGCGCAGAGCCAAATGATCCTGACCTCACATAATGACCACAATTTTTGATCACTTAATTTCACATCAGACCGTCGCTGCAAGGGAACGTCGGTTTTGTGCCGTCATATTACGCACAGGAAATATTGACCATTTTTGCCTTCCTCCTTAATCCAATGGTAGATTCATAGCAAGATGTATTTCTGAAAGTTTGCCTGTTTAATTGCCACCAAGCAAAGCAAATGAAGTTCAATGGTAATTTGCTTATTTCAGCGTTCGGTATAGACTTCTGGGCGAACGTATTTACTTAAACCCTGAAAATGGAATTCTGGACGAACCTACTTGAACCTACTTGCACCAAGTAGTCCACCCTCAGTGGATCAAAAAAGGTTATCGACAATCCTCCTTGAACGCACGAAATTCTGGGCCGCTCTCCTCCCCCTGATTTGTCCCAGCTTCAACCCGTGTTCTTCAAATTCCCTGTCATTATCTTGTGTGCAGCTGTTTCGCGACTGTCCTTGCCTTCTTTTCGAAAGAAGACGAAGGTAGATCCTAATGCATATAGATACATTGATGCTCATTTCGAAATGATTCGCCAAGTTTTGGTCTTTGGAAAATTCGCGTGATGAAAGTACGAATGACTTCCCTAGTACGGACAACGGAAAGCGAAGTATTAAAAGGTGTGGATATTTCATGTTATGAAGGAGAAGCAAGAGTGTACCTACCCGTTTACGAGTACTTTATTGAGTTGAGAAAGATGAAGCTGTGCAAGAATCGAAATCGGCGAAAATGACACAGATAAGGGACAGGTCATTATTTATGGCGGGGATGGCATCGAAGAGTAATGTTTTTTCTTGGTAAAAATTTTGCTGATCCAACCATTGAAAAGTCGGAATTCTTCTTTACCCAACCTCAAATATCAATTACAAAATAAATAGCCACTCCTGGCCAAAAAAATTACAAACCAACGATACCATTCAGTTGTCGCACATGACCTGCACAACTTCTGTGACATGAATTTGATAACTGCTTGCGCAAAATTTCATGTTGTTTCGACATCTACTTTCTTTGGAGACACCATTTGTCTCCACACAAATCGGAAAATGACCAAGATAGTGACTCGGATTGATTCATATATTGCATATATTGACATGTATACATGACGTTGACATTGCTTTTTGTCTTCAATATTTGAGCGAGTCATGCTTTGGGAATGACAATGATTTTTTTATTATCCAACCCTTGAGCTTTTTTTCCATTTACGAAACCTTTTACTTTACCCAACCCTTTTCTCTTCGGTGCCACTCCCCGCCATAAATAATGACCGGTCCCTAAGCAGTACCCATGCAAGGATATCTTCCAGGAATTCAATGATGAAACGAAAGTACAGGAAAGTTAAATAGCAATGAGATATAATCTCAGTAATGTTTTCGTTCGCTTCTCTGGTTTAAATAAGCAAATGCAGTAATGTATAATGAGTCACGTTACGAGTTTACTGTAAAAGTACTCTATTGTCTTTCATCCGTTTACTTAATTAAACCTGGGTAGCGGGCGAAAACATGTACAAACACTGGGCGAACAAAAGGTTAAACTAAAATTATTAGAGAAAATAGATGAACAATAGTTGGGATGGAAGACGCCGTAAAGCCTAGATTGCACTTGGTCTTAAAGCGCCCGTAACTCCAAAATTGATTTTCAGCTTATTAAAAGTATGCTGTCAGTAGAACAGTCTCGAGACTGGTTAAAAAGCAAAAATTTGAGAACCACTTGAATTATGGGTTGCTTGGCCAATAGGCGTTGGGTACGGGAATCTGTGTTTAGCATCTGGTTAGGGTATAGCATCAATTTAGTTCAAATTAGGCCGGGTTACTTGTGGTCCGTACGAATACACTTGTTGTCACGCGTACTAAACTGCAGCTTCTGTACATTTAACGATCTATTTCAGTTAGCATTTTCGCAAGTTTATGAAACTTTGCCACGGTCCACTTTGCTGATCGGTCCACCATGGATAAAAAATGTTTTGTTATGCTTTTAAGTTGTTCCTGTGGCAATATTTTATTGCCACATGCATTCATATGCCACTCTCCTCCACAGAGCCGTTTAAATAAACACGAAAGCTAGCTATACCAGGAAAATGTAAGGCAATACGATAATTGATGAAAGACTTGTTTAACTGTATATAACTAGCCTTCGTGTCTACCTATCTACCATTGGGTTCATCTATACAGCTCTGCGGAGAGGAGTTCCGTGGAGTGTCTTGTTATACTGAAATTTACATACAAACGCGCTACTGCTGAAAGGACAACAAACTGGCGTGACGTCACAAATAATGCTCGTTAGATATTCCCACGGCCGTGCGCCAAGTAAAATCGAATAAAAACTGTCTTGGAGGGAAACTTTGTTTGACTAAATAGCTTTACACAATAGTCAGACAAGATACGTTCTAAAGATCGAAGTATACGGATATTATTTCCATGATTGTGGTAGCATTGTGTTAAAGATGCGGTACAGTCCGTATGTAAACCAATGCTGTGCTGAGTGGTTATATTACTACCTTAAAAAACAAGCAGAAACGTATTAACTCGACGTTTCGAGCGAAGCTCCTTCGTCAAGAGTTAGTAGCTTTGTTTACATTTCGGTATCCTAAATATTGAATTATATTCGACAACTATTTATATTTTCATGATTCTAGAGTATAATAAATTATGAAGACACAACAATCATGCTTTGCAAAAAATAAAATAAAAACTTAAATAAACTGTTTGTAAATAAAAAGAGGGCTCCTTTGTGCACATGCGCAGATCGGACTGTACCGCATCTTTAGTAAGCTGAAAATCAATTTTGGGGTTACGGGTACTTTAACTGTCGTGACCCAGTGATCCTTCGGTAATATGTAATGGTCTGGATCTATCTCATTTTTATGTGCTACATGGAAAACAATACTTTATTATGTATATACTGAGTTTTCCCACTGGATTTACCTATGCAAAAACTCGTTTCGCAATGCACATTAACCAATCAGAAAAGCGATGCAATTTTCTCACATGCATGTGAAAAAAGTTTCGTCCAATAAAGTGATACAACGATGACGTATGAGTTAAATTCACTCACAGCAGGAATTTTTCCAAACATAAACTCTCCATTGTGTCGACTTTTATCGTTGTTTGAATGTCAGAACGAAGCACATTCACAAGTCGGAAGCTTGGATTAAATCTAATCGGACAAAAACAATTTAAATTAATTAGTATATGATGAATAGTATACAAACGTAATACAAGTCGTTAGAGAGGTAAAAGCTTCAAGAATTTGCGTTGGTAATTACTGTAAACACTACTGTAAATACTCTGATAAGGACTGTTTAGTATAGGTAATCATGCGATGGCGAGTACAATTACGGATTTTAATTTTTTTTATTAAAATAGCCTACGAGTGATGCTTGGAAATTTAGCCAAAATTGGACGAGTCGCCGGGGGAGTTACTTTTAGATGAACCATGAATTAGATTTCGTTTCAGAACCGATTGACCAATAGGAAACGCACAGGAAGTAAAAAGAAATTTGAACTCGTATGAATTGATCAACTTGAGGAAATGAATTCATGCAATATTTTATCAACACTTCCATTGCATCGACAGTAAGTGTTTCCAAATAATGGTTAGGGAAAAAAGGCTAAAAAGTTGTTCCAGGAGGGGAGCGAACCCTCCACCTTCGCATATACTTCAGTACTGCTTATAAGTACGACGCATTAACCGACTGGGCCACGGGAGCAAGTCATGTTAACCGTGCTATTCTTTTCGAAACTTATTGTCTCCCAATGAAACAGATTTAGGCATAATAACAATAGCGGGGAATGGTCTCGATCCATAGACCTCTGGGTTATGGGCCCAGCACGCTTCCACTGCGCCACCCTGTACATTAACCATAGTTACCAATTGTGTATATTCATATCGGTCGCTCTTGATTCCTGGTTTACCTTTGGGAAATTAAATAACAATGAGAATAATTTACAATGCATACGTATCTGCGATAGTTTGACAGAGAGCAAACTTACCACTTTTTCTTTCACACAGCGCATGTCACCGACAAGTTATATAATTACGATTTCAGGAAAAATAAGATATATTTGTTCCAGATTTTATATGAAGGCATATGATTAAAATTCTCGAAGGCAGCGGATACAAATGAATTGATGCCTAGGATTTCCTTGGCATTTCCCTCTTGTGAAAAAGGGTGTATTGGACAAGGGTCATTCCGGATGAAATATCTTCGGAGAAGAAGAAACCATATGGACCAATGGAGTACACCGAAACAACGTGAAGGAAACAAAAATAATGTTAGACTTGAGGTTCTGCCAAGACTCGAACTCGGATCCTTGGATTCAGAGTCCAAAGTGCTAACCATTACACCACAGAACCATTTGATGCTTGACGTCTCATTAATGAATTTCTCCTCTCCAGATTAACGTTCCCGGGTTATTTGAAGACTTCTGGAAACTTATTGTTGAAGAAATGTCGTTCCGCATCCCACATGGTAGCGTGGCCGAGTGGTCTAAGGCTATGTTTACATTGTATCGGATCAGTTTTTGTTTCGTTCGCGAAAAGTTACGGCCCGAGTGTAAACAGCTTCCGCCCCGCCCATCTATGCCGTCGTCTTTTCTTCTATATATGATTAGAATAGTAATTTGTTGTTTGCCAGATTCCATCTTGAGCCACGCATTGAACCGAAATTGCTCCGATTGGTGTTTACATTACAATGACAGCGTTGCAAAAACCGATCCGATACACCGCGCACCACTTCGAAGAGCGAACCGCCGCACCACCGGTCCGTTGCAGAAATTGAGACGATAACAACATTTCATATGTAAACAGAAGCCCTATCCGGTATGGTTTTTGCGTCGGACGCAAAGTGATCCGATACAATGTAAACATAGCCTAAGGCGCTCGTTTTAGGCACCAGTCATTTGATGACGTGGTTTTGAATCCCACCGCTGTCAGTTGTTCTTTTCTGAATTCCGGACTCGAAGTCGAAGATTTTAACCTATTTTGTCATCAATTGTTTCCAAGTAATGCCTAGGGAAAAATGGTTAAAAACTTGCTTCCTAAGTTGATCAATTCAACTTCCTGAATTGATCTACTTGAAGAAATTAATTCATGCAATATTTTATCCACACTTCCAGTGCATCGACAGTAAATGATTTCAAATACTGGTTAGGGAATAATGGCTAAAAACCTGCTCCCGGAGGGGATCGAACCCTCGACCTTCGCATATACTTCTGTACTGCTTATAAGAACGACGCACTAACCGACTGGGCCACGGGAGCAAGCCGAGGCGAAGCCGAGTTGACTATTTGCTCATAGACAACGAGGCCGAGTTGTCTAATTGTTTTATTATAAACTTTAACATTAATTTACAACTAGGCTGCAAGCACAACACAAAAATACACAAAAAATATTATAAAACGATTAAAGGTAGACAAATATTTTAGTTCTTGTTCGCGTAAAATGTTTTACAAAATTCAGCCGTTTTAATTTTAAAATTTCATTTAGTGTATGTTATTTTGTCTATTTTCTTACCCTGAAAAATTGCCATTCCATATTTTTGTTGCTTTTTTCCGGGTTTTTTAGTTCAGAATTGAGGAACAAGTCGTCCAAAAAATCATCAGACACTTAGGCAAAAGTGCAAAACGCGAAATTTCCGCCATTTTGAATTTTCTATTAGTAGGCTATCACTAATAGCCTACTAGTAGCGTAGCCAATCAGAAGGCACGATATGTGATAGCCTACTGGTAGGTTTATACTAATTAACAATTATTCGCCGTAGGCGAAGTCATTACCGGAGAATAACCATCGAGTCGACGTCTTGGTGAATATTCACCGTGCCTGAGGCGACCAATTGTTTTAGTATAAATATTTAAAGAATAAAAAAAAATATCCGAATATCAGTTCAATTAAATTTCAGAAATAAAACTGTTTTCGGGCTGTTCACTAATACTGTTGCAGTGTGTCTGGCATTAATTGAAAGAATTAAAAGTAGTTTCTGTTTAGCATTAATTCATTCAGGAAATGGCTGAGGAATTTGGTAAAATGAAATGTAAAACTTTATCGTTCGAAATAAAGTTAATAATAACACTTTTGACTTTACAAGTTTCGAAAACACAATACAGCGGTCAGAACTCCATACAGCACAATGGAAACATGACATAGCAAAAGAAATAGTATCGTAGAAAATAGAAATTGGAAATTTACAGGACGCCAAACAAAATTGTTTAAAAAACAATGGCACGTCCAACAGCCGGGAGAGTTTTTGCTGAAGCAAATGTTGATTGTTTGAAGCGAATGTTTCGGAGTTTTAAATAAGTTTTAAATTATCCGTGAATATGTTTGACCCGGAAAAATAATAATGAAATTCTACCTTTCAAGTTATACTGTAAATACAACATTTTGTGCTTGTTTCGTTTCCTGGGACGATTTTTTCAATATTGTGTCGACTTTGAAACAAAATTTGTCGAATCGTTCTTTTTGAAAAGCATTATTTACAAGTCTGCTAGTAAATACTGCGTCAGATTTACTGGTCAACAAGCCAATGAGAACGCGCCAAAGCTCATTTGAGATGCAAATTAAAATTTATACTAATTGTGTATATTGATATCGGTCCCTCCTGAATCCTGCTTTACCTTTGGGAAATTAAATAACAATGAGAATAATTTACAACGCATACGTATCTGCGATAGTTTGGCAGAGAGCAAACTTACCACTTTTTCTTTCACACAGCGCATGTCACCGACAAGTTATATAATTATGCTTTCAGGAAAAATAAGATATATTTGTTCCAGATTTTATATGAAGGCATATGATTAAAATTCCCGAAGGCAGCCGATAGAAATGAATTGATGCCTAGGGTTTCCTTGGCATTTCCATCTTGTAAAAAACGGCGTATTGGAGAAGGGTCATTCCCGATGTACTATCTTCGGCGAAGAAGAAACCATATGGAACAATGGAGAAGTGGCGAAGCCAGATGTCCTGCTTGACCTGCTGAGCATGACATACAAAATTTCAGATAATGAATTTTTTACGCATATACTTTTTAAAAGAAAACACTTTTATCCAGCTTGATAGGTTCTTACATCATTATATATGTAACTAACGTTATTTAACTTATTTTGAATGAATATCGAGCCTTTGCCTGCATGCAGGGAAAAGCAGGAAAAATGGGAGGCTTGCCCGAAGTTTAGTCCTGCTCAACTCAGGCGAGCAGCACAAACGTAAAATTCTAACGCATTTCATTGGCTAGAACAGCTCTCAAGAATGCGAAACACGCAAAAATATGCCTTTTACTCCTGCTCGAGATTCGACGCATGATAAACCTCCGAATAAGTTTCAAAACAATGCGACGGCAAAAAATGCGAAAATATTGATTTTCGTAATAGAATCTATAGTCTTTTTGCCCTCTTGTACCGCCATCTTGGACTTATCATGTAGGCCCCGCCTGCGCTAGGTATGCGTTAGCAATCTAGATCTCCTATATCTATGCTTTTACTCCTGCTAGAGCTTCGACGCATGATAAACCTTCGAATATTCTTCTGAATTATTCATCTTCCGGTGGCGAAATAGATTTATGAATATGCAAATTAATCTCATTCAACCAAGCGTGTGTGAAAGTACACGAGATGTTATTCTCTTACAAAGGTCTCTTAGTTCCAGTAGCAAATCTTTGAGAATCTACGCAATATATACAGTAGATTGATGTTATACATTACGGGCATTCAATCAAATGCAGAGCTAGAATGGATGGAGTGAGACACTGTTGTTTTCAAATATATAAACATTTCAAACATGAATATTGAGAAAATCTTTGAGATTCTACGCGATATATAAATTGATGTTATGTATTACCGACATTATTTAGGCCGTATATTCATTATACATCGACTGTATAAGGTGCTACACGACAGATTTACACACACCGTCACGGACCTTGTTTTCATGTCTAGCACTGTCACAACGCCAACGGCGCAAACTTATGTTCAGTGCAACTCTATTGCGAGAATCCATCTCTATCAAAGCTTGTCAAAACTGCTATAAACACTGCTACAACTGTGAAAATATTGAAATCTAAAGTGACATTATTGAATACATGCGAACATTTGGAATGAATCAAAGGTGCATGAGACTTGTTATTGTGAAACATGTCACACCTAGGTTAAAATGCGGAAGCGGCCGAAGCGAATCCATGTCACGGATATGGCAATAAAATGCGGAACGGATGGGGATAAAATGTGTCTTTTAATGAATGAGTTTTTTCGCCTCTTTTTTTTAGGCTCCGAATGCAAATGAAGTTTTAGAATATGCAAAATTTGGTTATTGGTCATTTTTGGCTAAAATACGTAAATTTGCAAAGTTTTGCCTGTCCTTAAGGTCATATTGGAGCTTAGAATTCAATGCTCAAATCGCAGGAAATGGCATTTCCGGGGTTCTAATTTTGAACATTTTCCGGGGGGGCATGCCTCCAGACCCACCTAAAAAGCCTCGCGGCTTCGCCGCTCGAAGCATGACCAACAATTTTTGGCTGGCTTCGCCACTGCAATGGAGTACACCGAAACAACGTGAAGGAAACAAGAATAATGTTAGACTTGATGTTCTGCCGAGACTCGAACTCGGATCTTTGGATTCAGAGTCCAAAGTGCTAACCATTACACCACAGAACCATTTGATGTTTGACGTCTCTTTAATGAATTTCTCCACTCCACCTTAACGTTCCCGGGTTATTTGAAGATTTCTGGAAACTTATTGTTGAAGAAATGTCGTCCGGCATCCCATATGGTAGCGTGGCCGAGTGGTCTAAGACGCTGGTTTTAGGCACCAGTCATTTCGATGACGTGGGTTCGAATCCCACCGCTGCCAGTTGTTATTTTCTGAATTCCGGACTCGAAATCGAAGATTTTAACCTATTGTTTCATCAAACGTTTCCAAATAATGGTTAGGGAAAAATGGTTAATTAAAAACTTGCTTCCCAAGTTGATCAATTTTACTTCCCGTTACTTTTAGATTAGCCAATTAGACTTCGTTTCAGAACCGATTGACCAATAAGAAACGGGGAGGAAGAAAAAAGAAATTTGAATTCGTATGAATTGATCTACTTGAGGAAACTAATTCATGCAATATTTTATCCAAACTTCCATTGCATCGACAGTAAATGATTCCAAATACCGGTCAGGGAAAAATTGCTAAAAACTTGCTCCCGGAAAGGATCGAACCCTCGACCTTCGCATATACTTCAGTACTGCTTATAAGTACGACGCACTAACCGACTGGGCCACGGGAGCAAGTTATGTTAACGGTATTATTTTCGTCGAAACTTTTTGTTTCGGAATGAAGCAGATTTGGGCGTAAAAATAATAGCAGGAAATGTTCTCGATCCATTGACCTCTGGGTTATGGCCCAGCACGCTTCCACTGCGCCACCCTGCTCCACCGGGTACATTAACCAATTAACAATTATTCACCGCAGGCGAAGTCATTAGCGGAGAAAAACCATCGAGTCGACGTCTTGGTGAATATTCACCTTATTCACTGAGCCTGAGGCGAATAATTGTTTTAGTATAAATATTTAATGAATAAAACAAAATATCCGAATATCACTTCAATTAAATTTCAGAAATAAAACTGTTTTCGGGATGTTCACTAATACTGTTGCAGTGTTTCTTGCATTAATTGAAAGAATTAAAAGTAGTTTCTGTTTAGCATTAATTCATTCAGGAAATGGCTGAGGAATTTGGTAAAATGAAATGTAAAACTTTATCGTTCGTTTTATAATGTTAATAATAACACTTTTTACTTTAGAAGTTTCGAAAACACAATACAGCGGTCAGAACTCCATACAGCACAATGGAAACATGACATATCAAAAGAAATAGTATCGTAGAAAATAGAAATTGGAAATTATAGGACGCAAAACAAAATTGTTTAAAAAACAATGGCACGTCCAACAGCCGGGAGAGTTTTTGCTAATTGTTTGAAGCGAATGTTTCGGAGTTTTAAATAAGTTTTAAATTATCCGCGAATATGTTTGACACAGAAAAATAATAACGAAATTCTACCTTTCAAGTTATACTGTAAATACAACATTTTGTGCTTTTTTCGTTTTCTGGGACGATTTTTTCAATATTGTGTCGACTTCGAAACAAAATTTGTCGAATCATTCTTTTTGAAAAGCATTATTTACCAGTCTGGTAGTAAATACTGCGTCATATTTACTAGACAACAAGCCAATGAGAACGCGCGTAAGCTCATTTGAGATGCAAAATTTATACTAATTGTGTATATTGATATCGGTTCCTCCTAAATCCTACTTTAGCTTTGCGAAATTAAATAACAATGAGAATAATTTACAACGCATACGTATCTGCGATAGTTTGGCCGAGAGAAAACTTACCACTTTTTCTTTCACACTGCGCATGTCACCGAGAAGTTATATAATTAAGCTTTCAGGAAAAATAAGATATATTTGTTCCAGATTTTATATGAAGGCATATGATTCAAATTCCCGAAGGCAGCCGATAGAATTGAATTGTGCGTAGGATTTCCTTGGCATTTCCCTCTTGTGAAAAAGGGCGTATTGGAGAAGGGTCATTCCGGATGAACTATCTTCGGCGAAGAAGAAACCATATGGAACAATGGAGTACACCGAAACAACGTTAAGGAAACAAAAATAATGTTAGGCTTGAGGTTCTGCCGAGACTCGAACTCGGATCCTTGGATTCAGAGTCCAAAGTGCTAACCATTACACCACAGAACCATTTGATGTTTGACGTCTCATTAATGAATTTCTCTACTCCAGGTTAACGTTCCCGGGTTATTTGAAGATTTCTGGAAACTTATTGTTGAAGAAATGTCGTTCCGCATCCCGTATGGTAGCGTGGCCGAGTGGTCTAAGGCGATGGTTTTAGGCACCAGTCATTTCGATGACGTGGGTTCGAATCCCACCCCTGCCAGTTGTTATTTTCTGAATTCCGGACTCGAAATCGAAGGTTTCAAGCTATTGTTTCATCAAACGTTTCCAAATAATGGTTAGGGAAAAATGGTTAAAGACTTGCTTCCCGAGTTGATCAATTCAACTTCGCGTTACTTTTAGATTAGCAAATTAGATTTCGTTTCAGAACCGATTGACCAATAAGAAACGGGGAGGAAGAAAAAAGAAATTTGAATTCGTATGAATTGATCTACTTGAGGAAACTAATTCATGCAATATTTTATCCAAACTTCCATTGCATCGACAGTAAATGATTCCAAATACTGGTTAGGGAAAAATTGCGAAAAAACTTGCTCCCTGAGAGGATCGAACCCTCGACCATCGCATATACTTCAGTACTGCTTATAAGTACGACGCACTAACAGACTGGGCCACTGGAGCGAGCCATATTAACGGTGTTATTTTTTTGGAAACTTTTTGTTTCGGAATGAAGCAGATTTGGGCGTAAAAATAATAGCAGGAAATGGTCTCGATCCATTGACCTCTGGGTTATTGGCCAAGCACGCTTCCACTGCGCCACCCTGCTCTACCGGGTACATTAACCAATTAAGAATTATTCGCCGTAGGCGAAGTCGTTAGCGGAGAAAAACCATCGATTCGACGTCTTGGTGAATATTCACCTTATTCACTGGGCCTGAGGGTTTCATCAACTTTTGGGAGATATATTACTTTGTATTTGATAAATCGGCATGTTTTGTAGGATACAGGAAGTGTGTATTTTAATATTTTGTTTACTTAGTTATATTGCATTAACTTTTATAGCTTGTAACCGTCGCCCTCGTATTTTGGGGTACATGTTCAAAATAAAATAAAATTATAAACAGTTTTCACGAATCTAATATGTCCCGGTCACATTTGGCGTAGCCGGCAGGATTATTTTGAACATTCGTGCAGTAAAATATTAAAATAGTATGCCTGATGAGGAGTAAAACGAGGGCGGCGATGTTGCTGAGGCTACGGCCCAAGGCGGAGAGGACAACTCTTTATTGGAAACCTTAATGGCTGAAAACGAAAAGTTAAAAAATGAGAATAAACACACAAAACAAGCACTTTCAGCAGTAACTGTTAGCCAGAGCAAGGCTAGTACTTCAAGTAAGAATGCACCATCTAGTCTAGCACAGACACCCCAAGTTGTGTATGTTTCCCGAGAGCGTAAAATACAGAAGTTTTCTGGTAGTCGAAAGGCAGATGAAGATACAGTGGAGAATTTTGTTGACAATGTGAAAAGTTTGATATCAGCTAGGAAAATGACCCAAATTGAACAAACAGACTTTGTGTTATCACTGTTGGAATCATCAGCGAAGGAAGAAGTCAAATTGCGCCCTACAGCCGAACGTGACGCTTGCACTTATTAGAGGCTTTTGGCGAGCGGAGAACCACACCACAGTTACTAAAGTCATTCTACGAACGAAATCAAAAGGATACAGAATCCCTGAGGGAGTTCTCGCATGCGCTGTGTGAGATTTACAACCGAATTTATTCGCGAGACACCACCATCATACCTTGTCGTGATCAGGCCCTCCGCGACCAATTTGCTGACAACGTGAGAGACCCACTTCTACGGAAGGAATTAAAGCGCATGGTACGAAGCAACTCCAGCTCTAAGTTTCTAGAAGTACGAGAAGAAGCTCTACACTGGGCAGAGGAGGATGAAAAGATGCGTCCTACAAAAAGAAATGTATCAAGTGAAGCAGTTTCAACCACACAGTCAAACAAAGAGATGGATAAAGTACTGCAAGCCCTCGAAGAGCAGCGTAAGTCGATTGATAATTTGTCCCAAACCCTTATTTCCTTTTTCAGATCCAACAATAATATTCAGCGGAATCAGGGAGGAAGAGGCGGCCGAAACCCCTCCCTCCGCGGTTTTGACGAAAGAGGGAACAGAATTTCTTGAAGAGGGAACAGAATTTCTTGGTCGGACCAGATTGATGCCCTTAGCAAAAAAGTCAGCCAACGACTTGGAGTTCTGCGTCGTGTTAAGTATTTGCTGCCTCTACATGGTCATTTGGCGATATATAACAGTCTCATTTTACCGTTATTTGATTATGCAGATATTGTGTGGGGGGACAAGAACAATAAAGTCCTAATGCATAATCTCCAGGTTTTGCAAAATAACGCAGCAAGAACTATACTGGATTATCCCAAATACTTTTCCGGTACCGAAGCCCTCGCACAGCTAAACTGGATGCCTCTATCAGAACGTCGACGCCAACATCGTTGTATTGGTATTTATAAATGTATAAATAAGTATATAAAATATCAATTCAACCTAGTTCAAAACGTTGAAATTCACTCCCACAACACACGCCGCCGTCAGGATTTACATCTTCCACGCTCGCGTACTAACTGGGGAAAAGAACGCTATATATACCAAGCAGTCGTTGATTGGAATAACCTTAATTTAGACCAAAGACAATCGAACAATTTGACTTCTTTTAAGAACTCTATATAATAACTCTATATTAACTTAGACCAAAGACAATCGAACAATTTGACTTCTTTTAAGAACTCTATATACGATTTTAGCTGATATAATTTTAAACATACTTTTTTATATATGCTATTATTATGTAGTTTTATTTGTATTTTAATTGATATCGTAGGACCTGCCTGAAAATCACCTTGTTGTGAGTGTAGCTTCCTACTGAAATACTGTTATAATAATAGTAATAATAAAATTTGTTTTAAATGCCAAGGAGTCGGACACATTGCAAGAGATTGTGTGAATAATACAAGTCAACGCCAGAATGACGGCCTTCCCCCATCCAATGTCCCACCACGCAATACTGCCCCACTCTCATCGTATGTCCATAGCCAAGATACATCAGCGCCAAACGGTCTCCCTCCACAGTCGCGAGTCGGACAGTAGGAGGGGAAGGCGCAGACTCTCATAGCATACCAGAAAGAATAATTGGCAAGTGTCCTGTTGCTGTTGTGAACATTGGAGGCGTGTCTGTATCATGTTTACTTGATTCAGGCTCTGAGGTCTCTACTATTACAGAAGAATTCTTTAATACTCATCTTAAACCAAAGGGACAGGAACTACTTTCAACCAGTGGGTGGTTAAAACTGACAGCAACAAATGGGTTAGAAATACCCTACCTTGGGTATTTCGAACTTGACATTGAAGCTTTCGGCTTAAACGTGCCCAGACGAGGAATACTGGTCGTAAAGGATTCTGCCAATGATGCTATGAGAGCACGGAAGAGAGACGTACCAGGTCTCCTTGGAATGAATGTACTATGTGAAATGGGACAAGTGTTAGCTAAGTTCGAGGGAACGGAATTTTTAAGTAAAGTTGATCCTGTATAGTCACAGCCAATCCAGGCTGCTAAACGTCGTGCGAATACATCAGTACGAGGTATCGTTCGAGTTGCAGGAAAGCGTGCAGTACGGATCCCAGCTAGTTCGGTAACAACAATACCTGCCACTGGTTGGGGTGGTCAAGTGAAGTGCGAGATGGCAATGGTGGAACCAGTTGTAGGACAACATTTGTCGCACCTAGTGGTACTCAACACCCTTGTGAGACCGTCATCCCCCTTCTGTGTGAGAGTTGCAAATCTAACCAATGACGATTTGTGGATCCAGCCAAGGACAAGGATAGGTGTTCTTCATGCAGTCAGCAACATCGAAAGTGGTGTGGAATTCAAGAGAGTGTCAGTCAACGAAGAAATGGTTACGGTGCAAGATAGCGAGAACACATCAATTCCAGACGTCGTGGACAATACTGAATGTCCTTGCAACGGACTTTCCCCAGAGCAGCAAGAAAAGCTGGACGCACTGTTGAACAAGCATGCTTCCGTATTTTCAAAGTCAGACGATGACATTGGCTACACGGAGACGGTTAAACACAAAATTAGGACGGAGGATGACATCCCGGTTACGCAACCCTACAGACGAATTCCTCCAAACCAATACCAAGAGGTGAAGGAACACATTCAGAAATTACTTGATAGCTCAGTCATTCGCGAAAGTCACAGCCCTTATGCATCTCCTATTGTGTTAGTGAGAAAGAAGAACGGCTCCCTTCGCCTGTGCGTTGATTATCGAAAGCTCAACTTAAGAACGCAAAAGGACTCATTCCCTTTACCCCGGATAGACGAGTCACTTGATGCTCTCAATGGTGCACAGTGGTTTACAACATTAGATCTTGCAAGCGGTTTTAATCAGGTCGCAGTCGAAGAGGGAGACAAACCGAAGACCGCATTCACTACTCCGTTTGGACTGTTTGAATATAATCGAATGCCGTTTGGCCTCTGTGGTGCCCCTGCAACGTTCCAGCGACTGATGCAAAGCTGCCTTCACGACCAGATCTATCAACTGTTGTTGGTTTACCTCGATGACGTTATTGTTTTCTCAAAAACATTTGACGAACACTTGGAAAGACTGGAAAAAGTTTTAACGAGGCTAGCGCAACATGGGTTAAAGATAAAGCGAGAGAAATGCAGTTTTCTTAGAAAAGAAGTTTCGTATCTGGGATATGTGGCTTCATCTGACGGTGTCTCGACTGACCCTGACAAAATATCCGTGGTGAAAAATTGGCCGGTACCCAAGACCGTGAAAGAACTTCGTTCGTTTCTTGGATTTGCTAGTTACAATCGTCGCTTCGTAAAAGATTTCTCCAAGGTCGCTGACCCACAGCATGAATTACAGAACCGGTGTTTACACGAACTGAAACTAAAGAAACATCTGTTAGTACCCTTCCCAAAGCGTTGGAAAATTGTTCATCAACAAGCCTTCGATAGGCTTAAGCATTTGTTGACAACTGCGCCAGTATTGGGATATGCAGAATTCTCGCAACCATTCATACTCGAGACTGATGCTAGCTAGCCACCAAGGACTTGGTGCGGTTCTTTCCCAAGAACTTCAAGGAAAGAGACGTGTTATTGCGTACGCAAGTAGACGACTAAGACCAACCGAATGCAATATGGGCAATTATGGCTCCATGAAGTTAGAAATGTTGGCTTTGAAATGGGCCGTAACCGACAAGTTCCGCAGTTATCTGTTAGGAAGCAACTTCACCATTTATACTGACAATAATCCCCTGAAATATCTTCAAACGGCAAAACTTGGAGCCGTAGAACAACGATGGGCTTCGCAGTTGGCATCTTTCAAATTTGACATTGTTTATCGCTCGGGAAAATCGAATGCTAATGCCGACGCATTGTCGCCCCTCCCTCACCATGATTGCCCAGACAAACTTTCGTCGGTGGTGGAAGTAACGAATACCTTGGCTCATTCCTCCAATACAACAGCCTTCCCACCCCACCTAGCTACTGCCACTTTGGAAAAAAGTGCAAACATAACCCTTGAAGGTCCTCAGCAAACGTTTGTGGCAAACAACGCTATCAACACAGAACATAACGTACCTAAGTCAGGAACGAAGTCATTTCCAAGTTACTCCAAGTCCGAGTTAATGCAGATGCAACAAAGTGATCCAACGATAAGCGCACTCCTGAAATTTTGGACAGTTGGTAGGAAACCCGATGCAAAGGAGAAGAAAGATCTCACTATTGGTACCCGTGTCTTGTTGCAGCAATGGAAACGGTTAGAACTGAAGGACGGAGTATTGTACCGAACGATTATTGATCCACAACAGCAGGAGGTACAACAGTTGGTGCTACCTGAGATTCTAAAGGAGAGAGTAATTCGCAGTCTTCACAACGACATGGGACATCAGGGCTTAGAGAGAACTATTCTTCTAGCTAGATCTCGATGCTACTGGCCAGGTATGTACACAGATGTCGAGAAATGGATCAAGTCTTGTGAACGATGTGTTTTGTCCAAGATGCCACAACCGCGTATTCGAACACCAATGGGGCACCTTATTACCGAAAAACCCCTGTCAGTTCTTGCCATTGATTTTACGTTGTTGGAACGTTCGAGTGATGGAAAAGAAAATGTACTGGTAATGACTGACGTTTTCACTAAGTTTTCGTTAGCAGTACCCACGAAAGATCAAAAAGCATCCACAGTTGCCAAAGTGCTTGTCAAGGAGTGGTTTCAAAAGTATGGCACACCGGAACGGATCCATTCGGACCAAGGCAGGAATTTCGAGAGTGCAATCATTCAGGAACTGTGTCGAATTTATGGTATAAAGAAGAGCCGCACAACACCTTACCACCCACAAGGCAACGCACAATGTGAAAGGTTTAACCGCACACTTCATGATTTGCTTAAGAGCTTGCCTCCTCAAAAGAAACGTCGATGGACCGAGTACCTTCCTGAGCTACTGTATGCCTACAACTGTACCCCGCATGGTACAACCGGTTACAGCCCATATCATCTTCTTTTCGGGAGATCACCAAGGTTACCAGTTGACTTACTCCTCGGAGAAGAAGAGGATGAACCTCAGAAACAGTCTGCGAATGAGTGGCTTACTAAACATCAAACCCGCCTACGGTACGCTTGGGAAAAAGCAGGGGAACATATACGCGAGTCAGCAGAGAAGAGAAAGCAAAGAAACGATTCAAAGGTGTATGCGCCAGATATCAAAGTTGGGGAGTTAGTGTAACTACGAAAAAGAGCTTTGGGGCGAAACAAGATCCAAGATGCATGGGAACCTACCATGTTTATCGTGACTGAAGTACCGACCAAAGATGGTGGACCATATACTGTCGTACCCTATAGTGGTCGAGGTGCCCCAAAGAAAGTCAGTCGTGTTGAACTACAACCATGCCCCATTAAGAGTGACCCTCCTCAACCGACACAACCAACGACGATTAAAAGCGTTCCCAACCGAGCCATTCATGAAGATACGTCCTCAACTGACACCGAATCGGAGTTCATGTTGCTCGTTAATACCCCTTCGTTACCCAGAAAGCATCACATATCCACTTCCAAAGGCGAACAAATTCAAGCAACTCCAGACAATGATCCAGCGACAACTCTCCGAAGATCGAAACGGATAGCGGCGAAAAGACAGAACACTCACCAAAGCAAATCAAATCCAACATGCAATCAACTGACGGTATCGTATCGAGACTTTAATGTTTATGTCCTAGTTATATGTGTGCTTATAACTGGCATTTCCGTGATCTCTGCAGTTATATAGTTAGGTCGAGGACGACACCTTGTTAGCAGGGGAGAGTGTGGCCAGGTTGAATAAACTGTAGAGAGACTCAGAGACACCTTAATAGTTGTTGTTAGTTAACTTCCTGTTATGATCACTTCCTGTGACGTCATGAACACGCCATGCTGCAAAATGCAGTTGAACAAATATAAAAGCTTTCAAAAGATATTATTCAGTATTTTATCGACAAAGAAACATTTATATCGAAGAAAAGAACAACAGTAAAAGGGAATTAACAATCTCGGGCAGTTGCCCGGTAAGTTAACGTTATTATCCAGTAATTATAGAAGTATTGATGTATTATAATCATGTTAAAGGTATAAAAATATACGCATGAATATATTAATCGTAATAGCTGTTGAAGTATGGTCATTTTGAGTAATTTATGTAAATAGTTCTTTAGAACGGTGCATGATTTGTCTTAAGTTTGACATTATAGACGGAGATATTTAGGGTTTCATCAACTTTTGGGAGATATGTTACTTTGTATTTGATAAATCGGCATGTTTTGTAGGATACAGGAAGTGTGTATTTTAGTATTTTGTTTACTTAGTTATATTGCATTAACTTTTATAGCTTTTAACCGTCGCCCTCGTATTTTGGGGTACATGTTCAAAATAAAAGAAAATTATAAACAGTTTTCACGAATCTATTATGTCCCGGTCACATCAACACCGCGGAAAAACGTCTGCGCATGCGTCAACCTTACCTGTAATCCCCGAGCCGGCGGCGCGAAGCGCCGTGCGAGGGTACTAATTCCCCCCGGCTATTTACACCTGGTGAAACGAAAGCATTAGCCAAGTCTAAAGTTCATCAAATATCGCGGGCGTGACCAACGAACCTTGAGTGGGTGGTCATCCTCACTGATCTCAAAAATATGGCGGACTGTCATGGATAGCGAACACTGATTGGTTAAATTTAAAATTTGTTGTTGTATGACAAATGACGACTTCAACTGACAGATACTTCATGAAAATAATTTGCTTTTTACACTGCAGTATTTTTGTACGTTTGCAAAAAACTTTGACAGCTTTCAAAGCAATTTGTTCTATAAAAAGTTTAATAAAACAATTACGGTATCAAATACCAATTGAAAAGATATGGAGCCAAATGAAGAGAGGCAAGGAATGACAAGAAAGCCGAACGTCTAGCGAAAAGGAGGGAGCGAAGACGACAACGTTTGCTCGAGGAGACTGCTGAGGAAGAGAAGCTCGCCTGGGAAAGCGTAGAGAAGTATGGAAAAAAAAGACTGCTGAAGCGAAAGGTAAGCAAAGGCTTGTCTTCACAATATTTCTTCACAATTTTCCAATAAAAAGATTGTCATGACACGCTCAAGTCAGTATAACCAGACTGTATTTTATTTATATCAGTTATCACAGCCACAGGCAATTTTATGCTGCCAAATACCGTCGGTTGCAACTAAAGGTGAACAGTTGCAGATAAAACATTCTCTATTCTCATTAAAAAGCCTGTATTAAAAGGTTTCCAGTAGGTCTCTGGCCCAACACGTTCCGACCACACAAAGTTTTTTTTACTTATTATTGTACACATGGGAAACAACAATTAAGTGTTGTTGTTCTTGACAAACATTGGAGATTCTAATCACGCGAATGTTTTTATGAGCGACTGTTCATCGTTAGGTGCAAGCGACGGTACAACATACCATGAACATTTTTCCGACTGTGACCGAATGTGCAACGATATATTTTTCAAAGTTGTTAACAATTCCTAAAATTTGTTTATAGTAAAACGGCCTGCTCAGCACTCACTACTCACGATGATTTCATTTAGAAATGCAGTTATACCAGGAAAGGAACTGATTCTAAAATATGTAAATTTAAAAGCATTGGCTAACAGAATAAAGCTATGTGAAGACAAGGTACAAACTTTTATAGTTGCTTTTGTTATAAAATCCTATAAATATACCGATTCAACAATAATTTTGCCTCGAATTTGCATATTCTATGCTGCATGTTTATATTTTAATACTATGAAATAAAATACATTTCTGTTTATTGACCAGTACTTATTTAATGTCTTCTTCATCCAGTGGTCAGAGTAAATTTCTACTTCTAGCAAGTAAATATTTGACAAGCAGTCTGGAATAAGCACAGGACTTTTAATGCATCAGCCAAATCCAAGTGTGCCCATCCCCCTCACCTAGCCATTTTCCTGTAAAGCACATCCCGGGGGTTGGGCATTTCCACTTGAACCTTAGCCCCGGCGGGGCATTTGAAATTAATAATTTGGATTCTTGCTCTTAATTCACTTGTGGAATTAATATTAGAATGTTAGGGTAAACTTGTAATCCAAGTGAGAATATATACATGTATATATTTTGTAATATTCGTGAGAATATTTTGTAATCCAAGTGAGAATATACAAATGTATGGTACATGCATATATTTTGTGTATATATTTTGTAATCCAAATGAGAATAGTTTGTAATCCAAGTGAGAATATACAAATGTACATATTCTCACTTGGATTACAAACCCTAACATTCTAATTTTAATTCCACCAAGTGAAGTGCAAGAATCCAAATTATTGAAGTCCACATTATCACAACTCGCACACCCGATTACCTAAATATACATGAACTTACAGTTAAAGCTCAACAGCTGGCCTCTGTAGCTCAGTTGGTTAGAGCGCTGCACCGGAATCGCAGGGCCGTAGGTTCAATTCCTACCAGAGGACTTTGTGCTGCATTTTTCGCAGTCTTTCCTGGTTAGGTCTTAAAATGTATATATTCTCACTTCGATTACAAACCCTAACATTCTAATATTACTTCCAACAAGTGAAGTGCAAGAATCCAAATTATTGAAGTCCACCTTATCACAACCCGCACACCCAATTACCTAAATATACATGAACTTACGGTTAATTAAAGCTCAACAGCTGGCCTCTGTAGCTCAGTTGGTTAGAGCGCTGCACCAGAATCGCAGGGCCGTAGGTTCAATTCCTACCAGAGGACCTTGTGCTGCATTTTTTGCAGTCGTTCCTGGTTAGGTCTTAAAATGTATATATTCTCACTTGGATTACAAACCCTAACATTCTAATATTAATTCCAACAAGTAAAGTGCAAGAATCCAAATTATTGAAGTCCACCTTATCACAACCCGCACACCCAATTACCTAAATATACATGAACTTACAGTTAAAGCTCAACAGCTGACCTCTGTAGCTCAGTTGGTTAGAGCGCTGCACCGGAATCGCAGGGCCGTAGGTTCAATTCCTACCACAGGACCTTGTGCTGCATTTTTCCCAGCCGTTCCTGGTTAGGTCTTAAAATGTATATATTCTCACTTGGATTACAAACCCTAACATTCTAATATTAATTCCAACAAGTGAAGTGCAAGAATCCAAATTATTGAAGTCCACCTTATCACAACCCGCACACCCAATTACCTAAATATACATGAACTTACGGTTAAAGCTCAACAGCTGGCCTCTGTAGCTCAGTTGGTTAGAGCGCTGCACCGGAATCGCAGGGCCGTAGGTTCAATTCCTACCAGAGGACCTTGTGCTGCATTTTTCGCAGTCGTTCCTGGTTAGGTCTTAAAATGTATATATTCTTACTTGGATTACAAACCCTAACATTCTAACATTTGAAATTAATAATTTGGAGGTTTTGCGATCACTGATAACTTGATAATAATATAAAACAAAACACTTAATCTATCTGCAACTTTTACAATCACTGATAACTTGATAATAATTTAAACCAGTCAAGTTGTAGTTTAAATAGAGAATAATGCATGGGTGCACGAAATACCAGATTTATTTAGAGTGTTGAACATGAGTGTGCAGCGAACAAGTGAGCGCAGCGAACGAGTGAGATGTCATGTTCAACATTAAAAATAAATCTGGTATTTTCAACCAGCCATGTATTTTTCTGTTTATTATATTAAGGACAGTCGTAAATGAAAAGCGATATTTTTTACAGAAAAGCGATAATTGAAAAGGCGATAATTTTCACATGTGTGATTATCATGAATAATTTCACATGTGAGATTATCATTTTTATCAGTGCTCGGAATCTATGTAAAACACTATACTTTATATAATAAAAATTCATAAATTTGAACCATGCTATAGAGCATGACAACAGCAAAATGCTCTATAGTATGATGCACAATATTTTGGGAGGTGAAATACACGAACAATAAATCAGAGAGTGTTTGCTTGGAACTCACTGGGGTGGGGCAACACCCCTGATAATTGCTCATGAGGAATTTCAGGTAGATTTCCAGTGCACTTTTAGGTAAATTTAAGTAGATTTGCAGAAGATTTTCAGGGGAATTCAGCTAATTCTCAGGACATGAGAAAGTGAATTTGGAAAACAACTGTATTTTCGGAAAAATTATTATATGTCCTGAAATTTTTTTGTACATCTGGAAAAATTTTGGTAACCCCCCCCCCCTCTATCTAACCTCACACCCCCCCTCAGACGAAGTGCTCGCAACGGCACTGAGTATACATCTTTTGAAAACAGGCGAGGGGTTATTGCATGCATGTATTTCTAGTAATATTGCGAACTTGATGAGAAGCTGTTCCGAACGTTTCCGAAGGCTCAAAATGGCAGTAAAAAGGAGTGACTTCATTGTGCGTCTTTACAGCCAGATTTCGAGCGCGAAAATAAACATGTCATTCTAAAAACTAGAAATAAGTACAGCCAGAAGGTTCAAGAAATTGTATTGTACAACAACATGAACTAAAGGTGATTGTTGACAAATTTATCGTCTGAAACATTTTGTTTATCAACTAAGCAACGACAATTACCAAATTTTCGTTTGAGATACATTTCTTTAAAAAAAACTATGTCGCCAAATATAAAAAATTTTCGTGTTCACAATAATTAAACTATAGGATTTATTCTACAATTTGAGTGGGTTAAGAATCTTAACTTTTCGAGAGTTTTCTTAACTTTTTAGTTTGAATTTTTGTTTTGAATAATTTTGCAAGAATTTTCGAAGTCGTGTCCGTTAAAATCAACAATTTTTTACATGAATTATATTTCATTCCATACTTTAAATGCCAGGACGCTTTCAATTAATGTCTAGTCTACCCACTTGCTATATTTTCTCGTTTGTTTTACTAATTTCTGACCAATTAATAAGCATGTTTTTGTTTTAGAAACTGATATTCAAATTAGCCGCCATATTTTCATAATTTGGTGAATGCGCAGACGTTTTTCCGCGGTGTTGGTCACATCAGTTCAATTAAATTTCCCAATTAAAACTGTTTTCGGGCTGTTCACTAATACTGTTGCAGTGTTTCTTGCATTAATTGAAAGAATTAAAAGTAGTTTCTGTTTAGCATTAATTCATTCAGGAAATGGCTGAGGAATTTGGTAAAATGAAATGTAAAACTTTATCGTTCGAAATAAAGTTAATAATAACACTTTTGATTTTACAAGTTTCGAAAACACAATACAGCGGTCAGAACTCCATACAGCACAATGGAAACATGACATATCAAAAGAAATAGTATCGTAGAAAATAGAAATTGGAAATTTATAGGACGCAAAACAAAATTGTTTAAAAACAATGGCACGTCCAACAGCCGGGAGAGCTTTTGCCAATTGTTTGAAGCGAATGTTTCGGAGTTTCAAAGAAGTTTTAAATTATCCGTGAATATGTTTGACACAGAAAAATAATAATGAAATTCTACCTTTCAAGTTACACTGTTAATACAACATTTTGTGCTTTTTTCGTTTTCTGGGACGATTTTTTCAATATTGTGTCGACTTCGAAACAAGATTTTTCGAATCATTCTTTTTGAAAAGCATTATTTACCAGTCTGCTAGTAAATACTGCCTCAGATTTACTAGTCAACAAGCCAATGAGAACGCGCGAAAGCTCATTTGAGATGCAAAATTTATACTAATTGTGTATATTGATATCTGTCCCTCCTGAATCCTGCTTTACCTTTGGTAAATTAATTAAATAACAATGAGAATAATTTACAACGCATACGTATCTGCGATAGTTTGGCAGAGAGAAAACTTACCTCTTTATCTTTCACACAGCGCATGTCACCGACAAGTTATATAATTACGCTTTCAGGAAAAATAAGATATATTTGTTGTCTTTTGTTGCAGATTTTATATGAAGGCATATGACTAAAATTCCCGAAGGCAGCCGATAGAAATGAATTGATGCCTAGAGTTTCCTTGGCAATTCCCTCTTGTGACAAAGGGCGTATTGGAGAAGGGTCATTCCGGATGTACTATCTTCGGCGAAGAAGAAACCATATGGAAAAATGGAGTACACCGAAACAACGTTAAGCAAACAAAAATAATGTTAGACTTGAGGTTCTTCCGAGACTCGAACTCGGATCCTTGGATTCAGAGTCCAAAACTTATTGTTCAAGAAATGTCGTTCCGCATCCCATATGGTAGCGTGGCCGAGTGGTCTAAGGCGCTGGTTTTAGGCACCAGTCATTTCGATGACGTGGGTTCGAATCCCACCGCTGCCAGTTGTTATTTTCTGAATTCCGGACACGAAATCGAAGATTTTAACGTATTGTTTCATCAAACGTTTCCAAATAATGTTAGAGAAAAATAATTAAAAACTTGCTTCCCAAGTTGATCAATTCAACTTCCTGTTACTTTTAGATTAGCCAATTAGATTTCGTTTCAGAACCGATTGACCAATAAGAAACGCGGAGGAAGAAAAAAGAAATTTGAATTCGTATGAACTGATCTACTTGAGGAAACTAATTCATGCAATATTTTATCCAAACTTCTATTGCATCGACAGTAAATGATTCCAAATACTGGTTAGGGAAAATTTGCTAAAAACTTGCTCCCGGAGGGGATCGAACCCTCGACCTTCGCATATACTTCACTACTGCTTATAAGTACGACGCACTAACCGACTGGGCCACGGGAGCAAGTCATTTTAACGGTGTTATTTTTTCCCAAACTTTTCGTTTCGGAATGAAGCAGATTTGGGCGTAAAAATAATAGCAGGAAATGGTCTCGATCCATTGACCTCTGGGTTATCGGCCCAGCACGCTTCCACTGCGCCACACTGCTCTACCGGGTACTTTAACCAATTAACAATTATTCGCCGTAGGCGAAGTCGTTAGAGGAGAAAAACCATCAATTCGACGTCTTGGTGAATATTCACCTTATTCACTGAGCCTGAGGCGAATAATTGTTTTAGTATAAATATTTAATGAACAAAACGAAATATCCGAATATCAGTTCAGTTAAATTTCAGAAATAAAACTTTTTTCGGGCTGTTCACTAATGCTGTTGCAGTGTTTCTTGCATTAATTGAAAGAATTAAAAGTAGTTTCTATTTAGCATTAATTCATTCAGGAAATGGTTGAGGAATTTGGTAAAATGAAATGCAAAACTTTATCGTTCTAAATAAAGTTAATAATAACACTTTTGACTTTACAAGTTTCGAAAACACAATACAGCGGTCTGAACTCCATACACCACATTGGAAACATGACATATCAAACGAAATAGTATCGTAGAAAATAGAAATTGGAAATTTATAGGACGCAAAACAAAATTGTTTAAAAAACAATGGCACGTCCAACAGCCGGGAGTGTTTTTGCTAGTTGTTTGAAGCGAATGTTTCGGAGTATTAAATAAGTTTTAAATTAACCGTGAATATGTTTGACGCAGAAAAATAATAATGAAATTCTACCTTTCAAGTTATACTGTAAATACAACATTTTGTCCTTTTTTCGTTTTCTGGGACGATTTTTTCAATATTGTGTCGACTTCGAAACAAGATTTGTCGAATCATTCTTTTTGAAAAGCATTATTTACCAGTCTGCTAGTAAATGCTGCCTCAGATTTACTAGTCAACAAGCCAATAAGAACGCGCGAAAGCTCATTTCAGATGCAAAATTCATACTAATTGTGTATATTGATATCGGTCCCTCCTGAATCCTGCTTTACCTTTGGTAAACTAAATAACAATGAGAATAATTTACAACGCATACGTATCTGCGATAGTTTGGCAGAGAGCAAACTTACCACTTTTTCTTTCACACAGCGCATGTCACCGACAAGTTATATAATTATGCTTTCAGGAAAAATAAGATATATTTGTTGCAGATTTTATATGAAGGTATATGACTAAAATTCCCGAAGGCAGCCGATAGAAATGAATTGATGCGTAGGGCTTCCTTGGCATTTCCCTCTTGCGAAAAAGGGCGTATTGGAGAAGGGTCATTCCGGATGTACTATCTTCGGTAAAGAAGAAACCATATGGAACAATGGAGTACACCGAAACAACGTTAAGGAAACAAAAATAATGTTAGACTTGAGGTTTTGCCGAGACTCGAACTCGGATCTTTGGATTCAGAGTCCAAAGTGCTAACCATTACACCACAGAACCATTTGATGTTTGACGTCTCATTAATGAATTTCTCCACTCCAGGTTAAAGTTCCCGGGTTATTTGAAGATTTCTGGAAACTTATTGTTGAAAAAATGTCGTTCCGCATCCCATATGGTAGCGTGGCCGAGTGGTCTAAGGCGCTGGTTTTAGGCACCAGTCATTTCGATGACGTGGGTTCGAATCCCACCGCTGCCAGTTGTTATTTTCTGAATTCCGGACTCGAAATCGAAGATTTTAAGCTATTGTTTCATCAAACGTTTCCAAATAATGGTTAGAGAAAAATGGTTAAAAACTTGCTTCCCAAGTTGATCAATTCAACTTGCCGTTACTTTTAGATTAGCCAATTAGATTTCGTTTCAGAACCGATTGACCAATAAGAAACGCGGAGGAAGAAAGAAGAAATTTGAATTCGTATGAATTGATCTACTTGAGGAAACTAATTCATGCAATATTTTATCCAAACTTCCATTGCATCGACAGTAAATGATTCCAAATACTGGTTAGGGAAAAATTGCTAAAAACTTGCTCCCGGAGGGGATCGAACCCTCGACCTTCGCATATACTTCAGTACTGCTTATAAGTACGACGCACTAACCGACTGGGCCACGGGAGCAAGTCATGTTAACGGTGTTATTATTTTCCAAACTTTTTGTTTCGGAATGAAGCAGGTTTGGGCGTAAAAATAATAGCAGGAAATGGTCTCGATCCATTGACCTCTGGGTTATGGGCCCAGCACGCTTCCACTGCGCCACCCTGCTCTACAGGGTACATTAATCAATTAACAATTATTCGCCGTAGGCGAAGTCAGCGGAGAATAACCATCCAGTCGACGTCTTGGTGAATATTCACCTTATTCACTGAGCCTGAGGCGAATAATTGTTTTAGTATAAATATTTAATGAACAAAACAAAATATCCGAATAACATTTCAATTAAATTTCAGAAATAAAACTGTTTTCGGGCTGTTCACTAATAGTATTGCAGGGTTTCTTGCATTAATTGAAAGAATTAAAAGTAGTTTGTGTTTAGCATTAATTCCTTCGGGAAATGGCTGAGGAATTTGGTAAAATGAAATGTAAAACTTTATCGTTCGAAATAAAGTTGATAATAACACTTTTTACTTTAGAAGTTTCGAAAACACAGTACAGCGGTCAGAACTCCATACAGCACAATGGAAACATGACATATCAAAAGAAATAGTATCGTAGAAAATAGAAATTGGAAATTATAGGACGCAAAACAAAATTGTTTAAAAAAGAATAGTACGTCCAACATCCGGAAGAGATTTTGCTAATTGTTTGAAGCGAATGTTTCGGAGTTTTAAATAAGTTTTAAATTATCCGTGAATATGTTTGACACAGAAAAATAATAAAGAAATTCTACCTTTCAAGTTATACTGTAAATACAACATTTTGTCCTTTTTTCGTTTTCTGGGACGATTTTTTCAATATTGTGTAGACTTCGAAACAAAATTTGTCGAATCATTCTTTTGTGAAAAGCATTATTTATTAGTCTGCTAGTAAATACTGCCTCAGATTTACTAGTCAACAAGCCAATGAGAATGCGCGAAAGCTCATTTGAGATGCAAAATGTATACTAATTGTGTATATTGATATCGGTCCCTCCTGAATCCTGCTTTACCTTTGGGAAATTAAATAACAATGAGAATAATTTACAACGCATACGAATCAGCGATAGTTTGGCAGAGAGAAAACTTACCTCTTTTTCTTTCACACAGCGCATGTCAACGACAAGTTATATAATTACGCTTTCAGGAAAAATAAGATATATTTGTTGCAGATTTTATCCGAAGGCATATGACTAAAATTCCCGAAGGCAGCCGATAGAAATGAATTGATGCGTAGGGCTTCCTTGGCATTTCCCTCTTGTGACAAAGGGCTTATTGGAGAAGGGTCATTCCGGATGTACTATCTTCGGCAAACAAGAAACCATATGGAACAATGGAGTACACCGAAACAACGTTATGGAAACAAAAATAATGTTAGACTTGAGGTTCTGCCGAGACTCGAACTCGGATCCTTGGATTCAGAGTCCAAAGTGCTAACCATTACACCACAGAACCATTTGATGTTTGACGTCTCATTAATGAATTTCTCCACTCCAGGTTAAAGTTCCCGGGTTATTTGAAGATTTCTGGAAACTTATTGTTGAAAAAAAGTCGTTCCGCATCCCATATGGTAGCGTGGCCGGGTGGTCTAAGGCGCTGGTTTTAGGCACCAGTCATTTCGATGAGGTGGGTTCGAGTCCCACCGCTGCCAGTTGTTATTTTATGAATTCCGGATTCGAATTCGAAGATTTTAAGCTATTGTTTCATCAAACGTTTCCAAATAATGGTTAGAGATAAAATGGTTAAAAACTTGCTTCCCAAGTTGATTAATTCAACTTGCCGTTACTTTTAGATTAGCCAATTAGATTTCGTTTCAGAACCGATTGACCAATAAGAAACGCGGAGGAAGAAAGAAGAAATTTGAATTCGTATGAATTGATCTACTTGAGGAAACTAATTCATGCAATATTTTATCCAAACTTCCATTGCATCGACAATAAATGATTCCAAATACTGGTTAGGGAAAAATTGCTAAAAACTTGCTCCCGGAGGGGATCGAACCCTCGACCTTCGCATATACTTCAGTACTGCTTATAAGTACGACGCACTAACCGACTGGGCCACGGGAGCAAGTCATGTTAACGGTGTTATTATTTTCCAAACTTTTTGTTTCGGAATGAAGCAGGTTTGGGCGTAAAAATAATAGCAGGAAATGGTCTCGATGCATTGACCTCTGGGTTATGGGCCCAGCACGCTTCCACTGCGCCACCCTGCTCTACAGGGTACATTAATCAATTAACAATTATTCGCCGTAGGCGAAGTCATTAGCGGAGAATAACCATCCAGTCGACGTCTTGGTGAATATTCACCTTATTCACTGAGCGTGAGGCGAATAATTGTTTTAGTATAAATATTTAATGAACAAAACAAAATATCCGAATAACATTTCAATTAAATTTCAGAAATAAAACTGTTTTCGGGCTGTTCACTAATAGTATTGCAGGGTTTCTTGCATTAATTGAAAGAATTAAAAGTAGTTTGTGTTTAGCATTAATTCCTTCGGGAAATGGCTGAGGAATTTGGTAAAATGAAATGTAAAACTTTATCGTTCGAAATAAAGTTGATAATAACACTTTTTACTTTAGAAGTTTCGAAAACACAGTACAGCGGTCAGAACTCCATACAGCACAATGGAAACATGACATATCAAAAGAAATAGTATCGTAAAAAATACAAATTGGAAATTTATAGGACGCAAAACAAAATTGTTTAAAAAAGAATAGTACGTCCAACATCCGGAAGAGATTTTGCTAATTGTTTGAAGCGAATGTTTCGGAGTTTTAAATAAGTTTTAAATTATCCGTGAATATGTTTGACACAGAAAAATAATAAAGAAATTCTACCTTTCAAGTTATACTGTAAACACAACATTTTGTCCTTTTTTTGTTTTCTGGGACGATTTTTTCAATATTGTGTAGACTTCGAAACAAAATTTGTCGAATCATTCTTTTGTGAAAAGGATTATTTACTAGTCTGCTAGTAAATTCTGCCTCAGATTTACTAGTGACCAAGCCAATGAGAATGCGCGAAAGCTCATTTGAGTTG